ACCTGTGATTTACTTCATATCAGTTTCCAGTCCCCCTCTTTTTTTAATTTCTTCTGCTTTTTAACAATACAACCATGCACTGTCTCTTGCTCAAATGGTGGTTTTCAAAAAGCTAAATAAAAAAAAGGACAAGATTGGGCCTAAAATATCTAGAAGTACTATTGCCTTTATATTATATGAATAGAAAAGTTTTGTAATAATTCGGCATTGCAGCTCAAAATGCCAAGTGCCTGTCTATCTTTCCTCTGAGACTTTAAATTAACTCTTAATCAAAAAACAATTACTTTCCCTAATCCCAGTCATTTTTAAAAGCCTGTTTGGAGCCTTTTCAGTAAATACATTGTTTTGACTTGGATGAAAAATAAATCTAATTTACATTTTGAACAGTTTGTATTCCTGACCTTAAAGTTTGCTTTAAATTATGTTGCTAACAGAAAGAAAATAGAGCTTCTGTCTCTCTCTGGTTCTCCAACCCACACACACCACATTCCAGAGATTTACATTATGCATCTGTAGTTAGAGGTTGTTAATGTACTGAAACTGCTGGATGTGTTGGTGTGAAACAGTTCAGCCTCTATTATGAAGGAAAGAGATGAAGGAGCTCTCTTCATCTGAAGATAAAATATAAGACTCAAGAAAAAAATAATGATTAAGGAGACAAATATTGTCATTTATTTTGTTTCTGTAATTCACCCAAATCTAACCTTTTTTATCCATTTAGTGGAGCAATTTTAATTGTCAAATGTGTGTTTGCAAAAATAACAAAATTAATTAGATTGAAGAAAGATAGCAAGGTGATGTGCGTTTCAGAGAAATATAGTTTAATTATTTTTTGGATGAAAGAATACATTACACTGCCAATTTTGTTCCTTCTGAAATTAATCACACAGATTTACACGTTTGCTCCGCCTGATGTCAGCGCATTGACAATAAAACATCCAGTGTTGAACGTCTCATCTGTCTCACCACAGTAAGACAGCGGCAATAACAGGCCTGTCACCATGGGAAGATACACTGATTGTAGCTAGCAAGGAGGTGTGTTTGTGTGTGCAGTCTGTTTTTTCTTTTTTTTCTTTGTCTTTACATATAATATTTATGTTGTTCACCATAAACTGGTATCAGTGCAGAATAAACCTCATTACGCTTAAGTCTTTTTATATTGTCATTAGCTTCTACAAAGATTTTGCGAGTCTCCCAGAAGTTAACATCATAGAAATTAGTAACCAGCCATTTAAAAATGTAGAATATACCAAGCTTGAAAAAAATAATGAAACATTGAAAATTGACACTGAGAACAAAATGTCAAAAAAGCAACGCACTGAAATAAAAAGGTCCCTGGCAACAGAAAAGGAACCTTAATTAATCTGTTTCTGTATCATTTTGAAAAAAGACTTCGTTTCTTTTATTCTTTTGGTGGTGTGATGTCACATTTCTGGCAGAAGAAGTTCTATAGAGAAATGCTCACTTAACATGCCTTTTACATACTAAGTTACCATGTAGAGTACTAGGTATCCATCTCTGTGTACACTTCCAAAAGAGAGGTCCAGACCTTTTTAGAGACAAGACTACTGCAGACAGGGTTTAAAGAGGTTTCAGGGGTAATGGCTGCCTTGTGGAGTAATAATGCAGGGCCCTCCTAGAGTTCAATTAAGCTGCTTTAAGACATGCACTTAACTGGGGATGTATGTGAGAAAGCACATTTCAGAGTCAGAGGCTCCAGACGTTCTCTGGAGTTTCTCCTGCCATGCAAGCTCCCAGTAAAGGATGTGACAACACAGCGGGAGATCCTCCGCAGGATTCACTGAAAACAAGTGGGCGTCTTGATGATGTTTTTAACAAACAACAGATGAAACAAAAAGAAAACAAATATTTCAAGACAAAACAGACAGAGATGAAGATGTTGTTTTGTCTATTTATATGTTGCATACAAATGTGAATCTGTCAGAGGCCCTGACAGACGCATTATCGGCACTGTTGTGCTCCTCGTTGGAGGAGTGCAGCATGTTGGATGTGCTCAAACAGACCTTGGTCTTTGTCCAGTGTTTTGTTTATTATCTCTGACTTGTGTACGATGGACGCTCGTTGGCAGGGGAGAGGCAGGTGAGAACCAGTCAAAACTCTGGTTTCATCAGATCGTGATCTTTGGGGCCTCAGGGGAGATGAATGGTCACATTACTAATACTGGTTATCAGTAATGCTGAGTGCACAATAAGGTCTGCTCCACAGTCTGTATGCAGATTGATGACACATCCTCCCTTCCTCCCACTTTCACAGTCTGAATTGGGACAATCTGTGTCCCTCAGAGGACTCAGTCTAGACTGCAGACCAAAATGAGATGGTCCTGCCTATTCTGCTGTCGCCTAGCAACAGAGCTGCAGTTGGACAAGACAAGAAAGTTTTAATTCCTTTTATGTTTTTAATATGTGTACCATTAGCTGTTTGGTTGATTTGAAGTATGATACACATCAAGCATTCAACGTCTCGTCACGTCACCTGCCGCTGCCATTATCTCTTTGAAAAAGAGCTGAAGCTCACGGGAAAGAACCACTCATTGGAGCCTTTATTTCCCAGGGATGGAAGGATGCATTTGTCTGCCATATCTGGAGGAGCCTTTGAAATGAGACTGACAGAGCTGTGACGCAGTCAGTCTACCAACAGTGTCTGTACAGTAGTGATCAGGGGATGGGGCCTAAGTAGCAGACACAGACGAGATCTATTGTGAGCCAGTCTCAGCTGTCAATCATGATGCCTTGCCTCATCGAAACACTTACTGAAAAATCGAGCACTTAAACATACATTAGTTTGCTGAGAACTACCTATAATGACAGAAACTACCTTTGACAAAAATGTATTTGACTTTTACTTAAGACCTACACTGCCACCAGGAGGCGATTGAGACACTTTGGCTTCGCTTTTGGAAAGCAGTCATATCGTCCATCTTGATGTACAGTCAATGTTCTGAATGCATCACAAAAAAATAAAGCCCTTAAAACGGCAACTGACAAACAAACAGAAGTAATACTGTGTACCTGTTGAAGCTGTGCAACTGCACTTACTAATGAATTTAAAGGCTTTCATGTTGTACCTGTATCCTTGGAAACCAAACCCCCCCAACACATATCCATTGAAAATATACTGCCTTTTTAAAAAATAAATAAGCCCATGATCTCCAGTCAGTGTTTGTTTTCCTCGTCCTCTCATTTGAAAACTGAGAGTATAATACACAGCTGAAAAGACATGAAGACAAGAAGAGTTAATATTTCATTGTAGCAGGTTAGAAAATCTGTTTGAGGTGAAGTCAGTGTGAGCTTTGCAAGTAAATCAATGTATGAGCACCTGCTGGAAAACAGTGGAACATGAGCACAGTGTCTTAGACTGAAAAACTAGAACACAAAGATATAAATCTCAGAGGTGTGTCTCTTACTGCATTCATGATGTTAAAGCAGGTTCTTCAGTGTCTCTGCTTTTCTTTGTCTTTTTAGTACAGCATGATTCATTAAAGCATAGAACACAGTTGGGTGGAATAACTCATTCATTAACAATCCTTTAACCGTAGATGCGTATCTCTGTTATTTGTTCAAACCTGTTCTGTGCTCTTGCTGCTCTATTACTATTACACGCACTGTGTTACTATCTGCGTGAATTACATGCTGCACATTCCTGGCTGTATCCAACAGCTCATGCAAATCCAATTATGGCGATTAGCAGGTTTTAGTAATAATACCTCAATGGTTCTCTGTGGGTGGAAACAAAGTTATGTAATCCAGTCTGAGAACAAGTTTAATAAAAATATGAGAGTCTGGAGTGATCCTAGCGATGGCAGCATGTAGAACATTAGTTTTGGATTGATGGATTTACAGTAGGGTGGCACGGTGGTGGAGCCTCACAGCAAGAAGGTTCCTCCTGGTTCAGCCAGGGTCTGTCTGTGTGTAGGCTGCATGTTCTCCCCGTTTTTGCGTGGGTTTTTCTCCGAGTACTCAGACTTCCATCCACAGTCCAGAGAGACACACTCTAAATCAACCGTAAACCTAAGTAGATATTTAACTCTGTATGTTGACCCTGTGAAATGCTGGAGACCTGTCAAGGGTGTACCTTACAGTCTGCAGAGATTGGCTCTCGCCCCTCCACTGCAACCCTAATAAATAATTGATTTATATGATGTATTTATAGTAATCAAATTCCAAAATCTGCCTTTTGTTGTCATGATTGTGTCAGCCTCCTGCTGGAAATCTATGGAAGAAACAGACCTTGAAATGAAATGCCTATTTAATGTCATCATTTGAGGTAGTTAGTTGAAACATCTTTAAAAAATGTGCACCCAGCATTCCTCTGTGATGTTTCTGATTTCAGGCAACACTGTGTCAAACCTTCGCCCCATTTTTGTTCCTCACTATGAGGCATAAAAAGGATTATTGCCATGAGAATGCTACTATATTTTCCATCATGAAACATGATACAGACTCGAACAAGTACGCAAATAATAACCTAACATGCTGAGTCTCATATGTCTGGTTTTCATTTGGATTAAGGACTGGTGCTAATTTATCATTTGGAGGAACTACAAACTACATAAAGCAGTTTGCTGCTGTATGCACTTTTATTTTTCTGCTGTGAGTCTGGTTTGTAAATTCATCTATCAGCCTCCTGTTGTGAGACGGTCATGTAAGGTAATAGCTCTGCACCAACCTGAGGGTACAAAGGGGTAAATAGACACACACACACACA